CACCGAAAAGCCTCAAACACGTGCAGTATACTTGCGATGGTAATTTTGGCAAACATTTAGTCGTTCGGTGCTCGTGAAGTAAGCACAACTGATTGCAAGCCCGCCAAAGAACCCTTGCGTGCATGATGCTTCTGTGTGAGGGTTGTCGGTGTTTGTTATTTCCGTTTTTCGCTTTAGCATGACTCAGGCTTTACAGCCTGTGTGGAAAGCGACACTCTTTATAAACAACCTGCCTTGTGGCCCAAAAGTGGTGGCTCCATTCAGGTTTGTAGCCTGGGCGTTGGTCGAGGCTCCTTTGGTCCCGGGATATATCAGGGTTCTGCCAAATAATCATTACAGTGCATCAAAAGTACGAAAAAATCCGGAATGCCCTTCATTATTTATAACATTTTGTGCCTACCGCCTTCGGCAGATCTGGCCATCAAGAAAACTCAGGAACTTGAAGAGCACCCATGTGGAAGGCTGGGCGTCGTCCCTGCCGGCTCCACTCTTGCCTTTGGCTGCCCTTGTTTCTTTGACGTAGCGGATGCGGATGGCTGTCCACCTTCTTCTGCCGATTCAAGTACCTCCAAACCTGAAATCAGAGCCTCATCAGGATGGTACAAACAAATAACTATAATTATGATCTATGATCAAATGTTATGAATTAATGAACAATATTGGCTGCGGGTTTATTAGTTGGAATTGCTAAGTCGTACTGCTCATACATGGCACAAAAGACATGGTGTTTGCTCCAGAAGTACCTGCGAAAACGTCTCGAGCGTCTTCAAGGCATTTTCGCTTGATACATATGTATGCTTCGAAGATGTCTGAACTCACTTTTTGAGTGACCACTATGACCGTCATGGAAGGAAGAGCCTCAGACAGTGTCCCGAAGAACTGTCTCTTGACCAATCAGTGGAATAGCCCCGACACACAAAAAACAGACTCCAGCGCCATGAATAAATCTGGAGGTACAAATGGAGTCTCGATTTTAACCAATTAATGAATGCTGCATCGGATGTAACGTAGTAATAATTCACAACTTTTTTGTTTAAGTCATGTATCGCCCGTAAAGCGTAACATTCAATAAGGTTGCGTAGGTTACACAGGACGTTACTTTAACTTTTATTTCCGTCAGACGTAACTTTCATTTTTATTTTGAGTTCTGTCGGAGGCAAATTGAAACCTAGGGGTAAAGTTACGTGGGACGTAACTTCAGTTTTAATTTCGAGTTCTGAAAACGTTGGGGTAAAGTTATGTCGCATGCACCCTCGTAGCACCCAATGTCGTGTGAACATTCCCTGCGTGTTCTGTTGAAGGCACGTAAAAACAGCATTCGGAAGGTTTGTTTAACGTTCGTAAGCTAAAAGCTGCTCAGCATTCTAGGAACGCTCGTTGTCAAACATTCGTATGCATTATGTTCTCGGAACCTTCCCCTTCGAACATTCATATGCGGAACATTCTCTTAATGTTTGCCTGAGAACATTCCTAGAATTTTCGCAGGTGCCACCACGCAACCTGTGGTTCAAAACCCCATCCACTATATGCCACTTCATGCCCAAATTATGCAAATTAAGTGGAGTTTCTAAAAACTTAGCATAACGGATCAGGATAGTGATATAAGGTGTAGGAGAAAAGCAATGGTTATTAAATTTTGATAATGAACTTGGCACTCACTGCATATCTAGAGAGGAAGTTTTGAATAGACCTGATATTTAGCATCAGGGGTTCATAACTTTGAAAAAGGTATTTCCCAGTTAAGTGTGGGATGCCATGTGTATCTGTTCTTAAGCTCAGAGTGAGTAATCGGTCATGTATGCAGCACATCTTGAATGTGCTGCATACATGCAGCACATTTTGAAAGAAAGAAATTGCCAAGTGTCTGGTAGGAGTAAACTGTCGTTAGTACATGCTCAGGCTGGTGCGCTGGGAAAGTGGCAAGGTTGTGCTTGCCTTCGATTAAAAAATAGATTGCCCTGTGATGAGCTTTATCATATCCATATATGCAGTACGGCTCATTGAGCTGTAGCTTAAGCAAGCCGTAATAGTGCAATCTTTGTAAATAGCCCTGAAAGAATGGTCTCGGAATGTAGTGATGATGTACCCACGCCACGTTCCGAGGAGATTGAAAGGATGTTTCTGCATAAATTTGCAACATTTCAAGAGAGTTTCAGAAGCTCTTTGGATGTTATAAGATTAGGATATTTTAATGTTGATTGAATGTCCTGGTAATGTTCTATTTCGTTCTCAGAACGTTCTAAGCATATCTCTTCGAAAACATTCCCCGAATGTAGCGATAAGTACCTGCACCACTTTCTGACAACGTTGATAGAATGTTCTTACGCAAATTTGGAACTATCCAGGAATGTTGCCTATGTTATTTTGAACATTCCCAGAATGTCTTCAGAACGTACTTGTGCTACGTGGGTAACTTAAATTTTTATTTCGAGTTCCGTCGGACGTAACGCTAGACAGTGCGTATAACGTAATGATCGCAGAATAAAGGGGCTATTCGCACCGCGACAAGGCAAACCTGACAGTGAACATTACGGCCTTGAGAACTCGCGACCAATGAAAACTCGTAAAAGTAATCAGTTGAACAAATGAGTCTTACCTTTTTTCTGTGCGATAGTTGTCCGCGCGTTTTCCCGCCGAACGCTGCTCCGGTAATCGGCCCGGCGAGTGTCATAGAGCCAGGGGAACTTCTCAACCAAAATTATTAAGCTTTCCTGGTCGCTAACAGATGGTTCCCCTGACTTCACTGCCTGCTGGTCCACACACACTGCCACCGACGTCGCCATGCTACAACGTTCCGCTAACCGCCGCAAAACAGACGAAATAAAAACCCGTGGACCTTCCGTTCGTCAAGCCTCGCTTCAGCGCAGCTCGAGTCCTCGAGCCAGTCGGCGGGTTCTCGGGCTCTTGCGCATGCGCCCGACCCTTCTCGTTTCTCGTCTTCTGATTGGTCAAACGCACCGCAACACTTCGGAAAGTTCAACGAGTCTCTACTCTCTTGCGTCGCGCTACCAAGCGTTGCGGGCAGGCGCGCATCGCATCGCAGGCGACCGCTCCTGGCCGCAAGGACGCCGCAACGCACTCAAACGCGTTCAAACGCGAATGTCCGTATGGGCCTTCAGAAGTGGATCATGCAGCTCATCGATAATTTCAGTGTGTCGCGCTCCTGTAGGCTATGCTCCGTTAAGTTACTGCGCTCGGAGTATGAGACCCGGAGCGTCGCAGTAGAAGTAAAGGAGCCCGGAGGTTAGGAGAGGATTGGCTTGCGAGGTCGCTGTTACGTCACATATAGCAACGCGCGACCAGTTAGCCAGTAAGATATTCGAATAGATACGATCGATATCGGAAACCAGATAACCGAAGGGTAAATATCGGAAACTAATCTATACCAGAAACATATGCTATCATTGGAAACACGTTTTCCTATCGATTGATTATTGGGCTGATGAAGTAGACTTTTATGTGTAATAGGTTTCATTCTTCGGGCGGTCGTTCGTGTCTTTTTGTAATGCGCCTAGAAGAAAAACGGCTCAGGAATCACGAGGGAGACGACTCGCATACAACCCATAAGAAACCACCGGGCAAATAAATGCGCGTAGACTCGCTGTTACTAGCAAAACAAAAGGTGATCACCGTGCAAAGTTTTGCGCAGTAATCATCTCTTTTTCGCTGTCATTTCACCCTGGTCAGCAAGGCAACCCTCAAGGACGATGATTTTTTGGAACAACCAATATGGAATGACCTGTGCTTTGATGGAATACCGAAAGTACAGTTTGCTTAGCTTAAAACCATAATTTTTGTTTTCAGATGCAGCTTTGTCGAGATCAAAGAGGTCACAATTTTTTGGGTTGATTTATAAAATTGATAAAATTCGCCCAGCCGTTCGTTGTGCATGGTATCTATCATTTAAATACCGTTCAACGAAGAAATATGTAGGTTGTTTAGCAAGAACTTTCGAAAAAGAAAAACATTCTGAGTTTTATTAAAACAATTTGCGGCAATATTGTCACTAATAAAACAAAAGTATGGACATATAAAAACGTAATAATAATGTTTATTAGGGTGAACATGTGCCTCCAACTTAAACAAAAAGCGATCGTACGTCGTGGAACGGTGGTGATAAGGCGACTCACGGGATGGAGTCATTCACGGCTACATTGGTAGAGGGTATATAAGGTCCCAGATTGTACTGGAAAGTTGTGGAAGATCAGCGAAAGATGAACTGAGAGCCAGACTTGTGGGCTTGAGACCTATCACCTGAATAGGTGAAGTCTTCATATTGATCCCTTTTTACTTTCGCCCTTTTCGCTTGTCTGAGCGCCAACTCAAACAAACACACGGCAATAGTGTTTACAGCTTTGCTGTAAAATGAAACAAGTGGGAAGCGTCACTGCTTGCTTATTGAAATTGAGAAAAAGTGACTCACACGTTGTGTCTAGAGGTAGAGCTATATATATATTTAAAAAGAACACAGACCTTTAAAACGCATGCACTGCTCGAAGCCGTTCCTCAACTAAAACGATCCGGAAAGTTTTGGAGCTGGTGGCTCCTTCTTCAGCTGCATCGTTTTATTTGAAGTGTGATTATCCAAAATTAATTATATTTAACAAAAAACAACGAACACTACAACAAAAAAAAAAAACAAATGTTGCGATCAAACCTATTGTTACAGCTGGTGACTTTTCTCCCCCTGGTTAGCGCTGGACAAAAATGCGAGCGCACCCGGCTAGATGCGTTTCAACGCTGTGCATTGTCTGGCACCTTTGGAGGCTGCCTAGGCAAGCCAAAACGCAGAATTTATTAATAGACCCTTTTCAAATGACCATCTATCAACACTGGCGGCGACCATATTTTGGGCTCCGCTTCTTGCACAAAGTATGCGATTTGGCCCGAGTTTACGCCGAGCGCTGGCGCAGTACTTGTGCCCAAAGCATGCTCAAAGAAGACGCCAAAGATAAGGCGGCCATAGATAATGGACGCAGCAGCTTTGGACTCTCTGTCAATTTATTTTCAGCCCTTTATTTAGGAATATGTATTGGTCTTTCTTGGAGACAGATTTCGCTAGGACGACCGTAACTTGGCGATGTTCTCTGGAATCCAGTCAGTGTAGGCCGTCACCCTGGTGTAGATGCCCGGATGCACGCCACAGTTGTCACCGAAAGAGGTCACACCGACAAGGGTAGATATATTGCCTTCCTTCTTCAGGGCTGTACCGCCGGAGTCACCCTATATACATAACCGACATCGGTGCTTTTTTACATTGTGCTCACACAAGGTAATGGCAAATTGTAAGTTATACCGACTGCGTTCCTAGCCTAGATGAGCTGATGCCATCCCCCGTGTAGTTTTTATCAGGATATTATTTTTTGTAAGATAAAACATGCAAAACCACGGCTAGTATTTCTTGCGATATGTCCTCCTAGGCTAATAAATATTATAGGTTCAGGTGTGTATTTTATGAAAATATGCTGTGCGTAAATCCAATTCACCAATCCAGTTGGGTCACCCTCCGCATATTTTTACCAATATGTCTAAGTGAATTTATGACTGACCCGTTACTTAAAAATGTATCATTGCATTTAAAACCTCATCTAAAGATTAACCTTGAATCAACGTAATGTGCCTGCTTGAGTTAGATATGCCGCTGAGAAGCCCTTCAGTTATGGGAAGGGCAAACCGTTGTCGTCCTAGCTTGGGAGTTTGACATTTTATTCAAGGTTGCTTTAAGAACCCTATTCTACTGGAATTTACGCGAGCCAAGCCTGAACCTGCTAGGCATCTCTCACCTCGCACGCGTCCTTTCCGGGGCTTCCGGCGCAGAACTTGATCTCGGGATCGTAACGGTTCAAAGATGCAAGGTTACAAATCTCAAATGATTGTATTACAGGAACTGATACAGCAAGCAGATGCAAAGATGTATGTCCGCCTGAAATGAGAACGCTCAAGATTAGATTTCCCTTTCCATTCAGAAAATGTCCATGGGGATATATTGTTGGCTTTTATACTAAGAGGTTAGCGAAAGAAGAAAAAGACGCCAGACATGGCTGTTAAAGAATAGCCGGGCCTAGCCGAACATCTGTCTTAATTCAACCTTATAGTTAATTATTTATAAAGGCTATCGAAAAGGGTTTAAAATATCGCTTTACGAAACAGCATTTTGCAGCTGCTGAAGCATTTCGTAGACTCTCATGTTCTACATGAATCTGTGAAAGCAGCAATCACGCTTGTTAATACAACTTGAGATAGGAATAGATTGGTGCAAATTAAGGATCCTGAAAATACCTTCACCAGTTAAGAAAATGCCAGACTCTGGGAACAATTGAAGGATATCCAGCGTTCACTCATTGTTGACTCGCAACCTGAAAGACTGTTCGTCTTTGCTTAATTTTTAATTTCTCAATCGCCAGATTTGTAACTGGACTAAGGAATGTTTCTGAAAATCAACGTTCTATGAATGGCGAAATTTATTTTTATTCTTTTCCAGCGAGAACGAAAAGCTGCGCCTCAAGAAACAATCAAAAGACAAACGATCTATGACAGTGAGCGATGGGAAACCGAGCTGGTCAGAAGAAAGGCCCTACACGAAGAGCGGATTCCAAGGGTGTGACGTGTTTGTTTTGCATATTTTATTGCTGTTAATGGACAGCTTGACCGACACTCCTATCCACAAAAGTGAAATGTGGATGTGACAGAAGAAATAAACAAATAAAAAATCAACATCAATGAAGTGACATTACCTTCGGTTCTGCTCTTCTCCAATAAATAAAGTAAATGTGTAAACGAGTGATCGAACGATTAACTAAAAAAAATAAGAGACAAATTATTTAAATACTGCCTTTATTATACATCAAAACAAAACAAAAAGCCCATGGTTATACGCAAAAGCGCTTCTTAAGGAACGCTGCCATTTTGACACGTAAAAAGAAGCAAAACTTTTGGATGCAAACTGTAGTATACAGTGTCAGAAGGGCAAATCTGGAAGTTTATGTAAATAAAACATTTCAGCTGTAAAATGTATAACAGCCGGACCAGTCAGCATGATAAAAAACGCGTGAGGAATCACTTGACCTAGAAATAGTTTTTGGGAGCAACTATAGTCATAACGCGAGGTGCTGCTATGTTTTCAGCATCACTAAATATGATTTTGTATTTCGGTCTTCCAACGAACGCGGTTAAGAGTTCTCTATAAAAAACTGCTACACGTATTCTAGATAATTGTGAGTTTGCATAGTTTTGGCAGTATCGTGTTATACGAGAAAACTCTGCATTTGTAAAAATTAAAAAAAACATACCAACTGCAAAACGGAAAAGAAATACACAGCACATTTTACTCTACTACGACAACACACACTGCTAAATAACACAACGCTTCTCAGAACTTTAGCTCTCTGCCCAAGTCACACGCAAAAGCGACAAGTAACGTCTCCCTCTTCTTTCTTTAAGCAAAGCAAAGCAAATTCCTCTGTGTATGTTTATACAGCCGGAAGTTAGTCTGCCTCAGGGGGCGTCTGGTGTCTCATCTGTAGATGAGCAATTTAGCCAGTGCGGTACATTTCTGTAAGAACAAAACAAGAACTAATTCGAGTTGTGAGTTATGTTTTGAGTCTTCTGTAATTCCAGCAAACAGATGACTTAATAAAAAAAACATATTTTCTTGCTGTATTATATTGTTAAAAAAAAAAAAAATTGTGAAAGCGTTACTAATGCGGTTTATGAGGGCGAGCTATGCAGCCAGGGGACGGGCATAAGATAGGGGGCTAATCGTCACGATAAATGAAATAATTAAGTACAACGTATTTATTATATTTCTAATCAGCGAAAATAAACATTTGGATTCAATTAGAAACTCGCTGAGTGTCATCAAAAGCCACTATAAAAGGGAATTAAAAAGAAAAGAAATTGGGGCTCGTGGGAAGCGGGGTAGTTCGCTGGCACATGGATACTTTAGACCCATGTCGTTGTAAAAAAAAACTATTTCCATACTCTGGTCTAAAAACATACTTTTCGTGCAAGGCTCTTCAAATTATGAGGCGCTGGAGAAATGTAGCCTTCTTCGTTAAGTCCTTATTTCGAACTCTTTTTGTTCGCCTTCCGCCAATCGAAAAGCATGCGGGAAGGGCCTTAAAACGCACCTGGTATCGTTGCGCCGCAGCGTTCCTCCACAACATAAAGTTCGTCTGCTTTCCTCGCCGTAATCATGGCAACGAACGCCGAATGAATGGAAGCACGCACGGTACCGCCGCGTGAAGCCAGGTACCACTGACGCCATTTTGCGAACGCTGTCTGCTATGCTCTGTTTCACCTTATGATGTACCGGAGAAAAGGCTCCAAGCGCGAGCCCATTGCTCTATCTGGGGCCCTAATCTGGACACTTGGCGAGAAACTCGGCGAGAAATCTGGCGGGCGTGATTAGCCAACACCGCAATTGACCTTGGCGCCGGCCGATCAGAGCCGCGGGATTTCTCACCGACTTTTTCGCCAAATATCCAGATTAGGGCCCCAGATTAGGGCCCCAGAACAGGCAACAACAAAACGTACGGGCCAGTTGTAACTGCATCGGAATACAGCTGCCTAAAAGTGTGCACATCCGGAACGAGCTAACTTGGGCGGAAGCCTTTGTATCACGCGTTAGCTCTGGAAAAATTTTGATAGTCACTTATTTGCTTCAATGCTGCTTTAAAGCATTTATAGACGGACAGGAACTAGTAACCCCTATTTCAAGTCACAATAATTTGTTTTCTCGAATTCATTGAAGTTTCCAACTTGGTTTGACTGGGTGAAGGGATCTACCGCTGTGCGATATGAAAAGAAATAAGAGCATCATAGCTCCTTACCAGCGAGTTACAATATGTATGGTGTTGCAAACTGAATGCTAGTTATAGCCACGCCAAAAAAAAAAAATATATATATATATAAAAGAAATGACGCGCAAACTGTTTAATTTATTCTAGAGCGCCTGTTCGCTTTGCGAGTTATGCATCACTTTACTGGAGAGCACGGAAAAATAGCAATGTTGGCGAGCAAGAAGCGTGATCAAAATAAGTGATGCCCCGTTTTTCTATCCGGTCAGGGACTATACTTGCTTGAAGAACGATACTTTTACATTAATAAAACTTTTCCAATCACGCAACTGTGAAAAGTGGAAGTTCTTAAATGTGAGAAACGTGCACCTGCCATTCCCAAGTTTGCGAGTTTTTAAAAATCCGTCTTCAGCAAAAAACAAAAAAAACAAACATTTATGGTAGTTATGCAGGTGCTAAAACTGACCTCAGCACTGCCTCAATAGGCGCCAATTAAACACCTATAACAACTCAAGCGTCCATCACCGAATTTTGTGCGTCCCCAGCCGGTGACTACTATCTTGCCCTCCAGCAGGAGATCCTTGGCGGGAAGACAGACAGTGCCGATGTCCCCGTAGCTCTCGGTAAAGTTAAATGGGACTTCCAACTTGAGCAGAGCTATATCGTTGGCAAAGTCTGCACTACGATATGACTTGTGGACGATAATTTTTTCCACCTGTGAGCAATGACGAGAACGGGCAATTAGTTCTTTTATTTACAATCGTATAACTCGCATTCTATTCTTAATTGATTAGTCCGTTCATAAACATCAGGTATCGAGATCCACACCAAGTGCCCATAATAAACTTAGTAATATATCGCTAGCAGACATGTATATGTTAGCCCCCCCCCCCCCCCCCCACCAAAAAAAAAATAAATAAACTAAACGCAAATACTCGTTACTCGCTCAAAAAGTAACTAAATAAGTTATTCATTCCTGATTACCAAATGGAACGCGTTGCTTTACCTAAAAAAAGCGGGATTTTTTTCTTCTAAAGTCTACGACCAAATACAAAGCTGCTTTTGTTTCGTGGCTTATTGTTTCCTTTTTTTTTTGTTTGTTTGTTTTCTGTAGCCGTTTCATTTAGGCAGTAGTTGCTTGATGAAGTTTTCATCTGTTATGTTGCCCCACTTCTTTGAGCATACATCTCCGGTGACGCTGAAAAGTCGTTCTAGTGACGCGCTCGAATAAACGGCAGGGTTATGCTTCAGCTAGTGCTGATTAATCTGGGATTCCCTCCTATAAGTGGTTCTCTCTGGTTCCAAAGTTCGAAGTTGACAATGGGTTCTGTTGCTTCCCGCCTTGGCGGCCTCCGGTTTTACATTCGATCTGTACACGATTCCAGAAGGTTCAAACAACGAATCTTATTGTGTCGTTGGGTGAATGAAGGACATCCCCAGCTGTCGAATTCGACTGACGTGCTCAGCGATAAACGTGGATATATACTGTCATACTGTTTAGTTATTTTTTGGGTCGCCTATCGGCTTTTGTTGAAATAGACGCATTATATGCAAGAATTGAAACGAGGCTGTTTTATAGAATATGTCTTGTTTTCTCAAGAAAAGTAATTTTTTAATCATTGCTTCATTAACTTTTGTCTCGGTATATATGAATGCCTCACTGTTATTATGCACTCCTCTCCGAAATGCCTTTGCACCAACCCCCCCCCCCCCCCCCCCCATTCGCATTCACCTCTAAAACCGTAGAAAAACAACAAACAAAAGTCGTAATTTTGTGAAACGTTACCTACTTTCCGACGCATGTTTAATTATTAAGGTTTACGTAGCTGCATCTTAGTCTAGGTTTATTGCATTTTATAATGACGTACATGTTTGTACAAGGAAGAGTTTGTACGTCATTTTATAATGACGTACAACCTCTTCCTTCAGCAATGAAATATTTTAAGAACTACTTCGCGAAGCGCATGAATAATAATGCGCTGACGTGACAACGAGTATAGAGTAAACATAACTTCACCTGTTGGTGAACAGAGTGGTTAATGGACTCTCAGTCGTAAAATATTTCTCAAGCCTACACAAAATCAAATCTTTATCAATACAAAAAAATAAGATGCCGTCTTTTTTTAACGGTGTGAGGCTTACATCACGGCGCTGGCTGTAGTTCGTCGGGTTTTCAAGGTCCACGATTCCAGCGTGGACTACTAAATGCTCTGGACCTCTCCTAGAAAGGAAAGCACACAACTCATAACATTATTCTTATCAAGCAGAGCATATACGTGCCCCTCTACACAATGCGCAGCGGTGACAACGATGTCCGGTTCAATGATAGATCCCCCACAAAAATGGTCTCTGGAGTTCTTGTGCTGGAGAGACACCTGCAGTGGAACAGAGTGCCGGGTAAGAGTCCCTTTCGTATAAACGCGTCCTTCCCCCATCCCCTCTCCTCCTCCTAAATGAAACAGCTTCCATAAAGTTAGTTGCTCGTAATAACGAGACAAAAAGCAGGCGCTTGCCCACTTCGACCCAAACTTTTTGTGAATACAGCGAGGTATTCGTGTTAAACGTTTCGTTTTATTAACGAAACACAACTTATTCGGCATACGCCATTGTGAAATGCCAGACAAGTCGGAACAACTCTAATTTTTGAGGGATCAGTTCGACTAAGATGTTACTTTTCTACAGTCCTACGCGATGCACCGTACAACGAGGGATAACCAAAAATACTGACCCCGACAGCTCAAGAAACACAGGGCGTTGCTTGTTATAGCCGCGCTTCTTGCTTCGTTCTTTCGCTTTCTGATCAGTTAACGACAATAAAAAAATAAAAAAAGCATCATCGCCTGTAGAGCGATAAGATGGAACTCTCCATGCAATAAGATTATTATGCTTAAGAAAGGCAACGCAGGGCGGTGGCTGGGCGGAGCATTTTATTACCTCCCCAAGGAGCTTAAGAGCAAATCACAATGCAAGAACCGTGAAGAGATCCCACTTTGAGGTTTTTAACTCGCCAGCTACTATATAGCTATTCTTCACTTACGCCTTTCCCTACATAATAGGAAAGACATCATAATTTATTTAAGATGTATTAACGTGATTTGCATATGCCAGGTGCTGAGTGCCGCCACACGAATTTACTCCTTCAAAATGTCCGAGTGAAATAAATAAAAAAAACAAAAAAAAACAAAAAAAAACAGCGAAGATAATCTGGAATGGTAAAGCCGAGTGGATTGAACATGAATACATAAAATTGAAAGTCTAAAACACAAAAACACACAAAAACACGGTCTCGTTCAGGGTGCAATGTCTCTGCCCAAAATAAATGTCGTTGCTAAATGAAAGAAAGTAATAGTCCTGTGCTTGGTCCTCCGTGTTTTATTCTTTCAATGTTATGTATTACATGGAAGTTGTCGGCAATTAAAGTTTGTTGTTTGGTTTGTATTTGCCTTGTAGGTCAAACAGAATAATTACTTCACTACTATCCACTTATTGTTTAGTTCTCCTTTCGCATAGACCCCCCCTAGTCGGCCAGCATCTTCCCATTTCGACACGAAAAAGTCACCGGTAAGAATGAGAGTACGCGCATTGTACTCAAGACTCTAAACAGTAAAGCAATCATTGAAGAATCTTATCGGACATGCAGACGATTGGAACCGCGTTTAAACAACGCCCGATACCAGTTGTAGTGCGCTTACCTGCCAGGGAAATTCCCCTTCAGTGGCATTCCATCCTCCAACTATTCGTCCTCCTCTGTCAAGGCCCACACCACATGCCTCAATCGGAACTGCTCTCGCTTGGAACAAAAATGCAACAATGAAGTGGCCTAAATCTGTTTAGTTTTCAAGATATGTTTCAAGTTTCAAGTACTTACTTTGGCTAAATGTATATATCACTGCGATGCACGCTGGGTGCACATCCCACACTCTAAAAAAGGTCGATGCGTCTACGTTTTTGCAAAGGAATCGGTAAGCTTTGAGAAACCTCCTTGGCATGCTGGAATCATGATTTATGAGTGCTCTTCCACTAACGTTTCATCAGTCCTGAAGTGTTAGCGTATGCAATCGCGGCGCACTGATTCACACAGAAACAGACGCTCCAGAAAAACGTTCTGTCTTTCGTGACACGATTCATAAGCGGCGGCTAGATCGGACGATATTTTTAGTAGCAACCTTAGGCATGGGCTTAAATTAGTGGCACGGAATTATTTATAGGTAAAATAATATATCAGTATGGGTCTGTCTCGCACGAGGAATAATCTTCGTCACGCTTGTCTCGCGTAATCGGCTTTTGCACTCAATAATAGTTTTTGACAGTTAATCGGGTAGCCAACTCCTATTATCTTGTTATAACGCTGCAGACCATCATATTACATAATCACCTATGATAAGAATAGGAATTAATCGGGAAAGCGACGAACACAACGATGGTTTGCCACACCCTGTGTAGCCTTCGCTTGTAACAGAAATAACCACGGCAAATGGTGATTGCTGTATTAACTTTAGTTTTATGCTAGCATATGCAGATGAAAAGCAAGTTTGTGATCGATGCTTCTTATGCGTGGAAGATGTATTTATCTTTAGAAATTCTGCCTTGTTTATGGTTATTCCTCCACCTGCGTCATCAGGTTGTGATAACTAGGCGGGAGTTACGTAATCTTATATTGGTGTCACATTTGCTCACGCTTCGTCCAAGTGAATAAGAATGATTTACACACGTGCGAATGTGCGCACTTATAGGGTTCTTGAATTTGAGTTACTGACCCCGAACCGTCTTCGTATATCTTTACACAAGAAAAAGAAACAATACCGTTACCGAAACTTGCGCATGGCAATTACGTCTAGAACACTAAAAAATGACATGCGAACCATATATTTTATAAAAGAACAAAAAATAAAAACACGTCTAATCGGTTACTTTTATAGGCTAGAAATTAATTAAACTTGTCTCATGCTTGCTCAATTATTAGGCAAATAATCTAGAGCAGAGTAATAATATTCCCAAAATTACGATTAGAGAAAACAAATCGAAGCACAGATAAAATATGGTACAGGTCCCAGGTTACTTCCTATTTCATTACCTTTGGCTTCCAACCCTAGCGTGGCAACAGACAAGAACAGGATTAAGAAACCATCTTCGCAGAAGTGACGGTCGGAATGAAGAGTGCTGCTATAGCCTATACGTCGACTGGAGGGGCACCGAACCTGCTTCCTGCACGTGCATGCACACCGGCATTAGGGCCTTGGCGAAGTTTGCCTTCTCTCACTGATAACAAACTGTATCACCGCTGTAGTGTTACTGAATCATTATTGGGTTTAAGTGGTTCAGCGAAAGTCCGGGAGTGGGAGCGGTGGCGTGCTGGTTCCGAGCGCTGCTGCTGCGCTGCGAATGTATCGTTAGGGCTAGGAAAATAAAATCAGCTAGTGCTGTCTGAGACACAACGGAGTACGGTCATACTTTTATTTATACGACATAGTGTCAGAAGTGACAACTCCCACCGCCGTTGCCGAAAAGCATGTCTGACGAGGACCAGTCAGACTCCAGCGGTCAAAAGCCTTCCGCTTCCACGCAACCGAAAATCATGAGCAGCGTCCAACAGCCGCCCCCCTTCAACTTCGACAACGTGGCCGAGTGGTTGGCGTGGCCCGACGAGTTCGAAGACTACATGTTCGCATCCGGACTCAGCGAAAGAACCCAGGAGGCACAGGCCAGATCCCTACTGTATTGCATGGGACGAAAAGCAAGAGAAATTCTGAAGACCTTTAACCTCACCGACGCTACGCTGAGTTCAAGAACTATGAGCTCGTAAAGGGGAAGTACAACGCCGATTTTGAGCATTCAAAGAACGTCGTCTACAAAAGCGCCTGTTTCAACCGACGTGTACAGGAAGCGGAGGAGACAGTGGAGCAGTTTGTTACCGAACTGCACACACTGGCGGCACGGTGCGAGTTCGGCGAGTTGAAAGAAAGACTCATCCGCGACCAGTTTATAGTGGGCCTCCGAGACGCGAAGCTGTCAGAAACGATTCAAATGGATGCCGAGTTAACGCTGGACACAGCTTTGGCAAAAGACCGACTGAGAGAGACCGTGAGAAAACAGCAAAAGGACCTGGCGAAAACTGAGCCTTCGCGACGCAGCGAGGACGCGGCCTTGAATGCAGACTTCGTTTCCAAGCCGCCGCGCAAGAGAGATGTACGCGCACCGAAGATCGAGGCCGGGCCGCTGACACAAGCATGCGAGAATTGTGGGTACGGTCCCCACCAGAAGCGATACTGCCCGGCAAGAAACAAAGCGTGTATGAAATGCAAGAAAGTTGGACATTTCGCCAGGAAATACCGAAGAGCGCTATCAAACCTCAGTAAGACGCACGTTGCAGAAGTGCATGCGTCTGAGAGCGGTTCATTCCTCGGAAGCGTATGCCAAAGCGGAACGAACGCGCGTTTGGCTGTGGTGACAGTGAACGGACACCCGCTTCGAGCAAAGATTGACTCAGGCACTGACGTCACCGTCGTCGGAGAAGACTTCGCTGGCAAGCTGCCAAGACTTTTGCAAGCCGAGGATTTAAAGGGACCGAACAAGAAAAGCCTGGACGTACTGGGGAAGTTCAAGGCTGTGGTCGAGTGGCAGGGCAAGGTTTCAGAAGAGACTATCTACGTCGTTCGAGAACTCCAAATGCCACTGCTGGGAATGCCAGCAATCGAGTCCCTCGGGATGGTTCGCTTTCTCAACGACGTCTCCCACAACAAGTCCAAGTACGAAAGTATATGTCCGGAAGTGTTCCAAAATCATGAAACGATCCAAGGGGAACACAGAATTCAGCTCAAACCTGACGCGGAACCATTTGCAGTCAGCACGCCAAGACGGATTCCATTTCCGATGAGACCTGGGCCGGTTTGCTCATCTTGCGGCTGTGGCTGCGGCCGCGGCCGAAAGGGATTTTTACGTCACGGGACGAGCTCCTAGGGGGGGCAAGGAGGTACCTAGCGTCCCTGCCTTATGGCGGAGAGATCCGCATCGTTTCAAGCACAAAAGCCTAATGTCGCTCGCAGGAACTGATTGCAGCGACTTTCAACTGGAGTCCAATTGACCGCCCCGTTATACTGTAGGAGCTGCAGGTAAAGTTACGACCAGGGAGGGTAAATAGGAGCCAAAATAAAGAAAAAACCACACGAGATAAAAGCGGTAGTAGCAAATTTATCTACCTCCGCCGGCGCCGGCGCCTCGCGCGTTCTGCTATGGCCGGGAGGTTTAAGCGCCGGTACTTGTCGTCGCGGCGTGAAAGTTCCGGGTTCAAATCGCACTAGGGACATCTTTTTTATTTTGTTTTTGTATTTTACGCGTGTCTTACTTTTTAACTGTGATCCTTTTTAGGAAATCATCCACTTGCACTACTGCGCCTTACACGGTTTTTACTGTTAGTCCCACCTGTTCAATCGAAACACTGGGAAGAAAAAAAAAAGGATCAACGCAAGTTAACGCGCTAATACAATAATTTCATAATGTTCATTAAAAGGAAACCAAGATAACTGCATCGCTATGGCTTTCACACTAACGGAGCCGAAACACACATCCTTTCCCAAGCAACTAGTTTTATGTGTTCTTAAATATACAACGCTCTTGCTACGATTCCTTTCAATAACAAAAGACGCCTATTTAGGACTAATAAAAACTGCAGTTGTGACCATTAGAAAAAAAACAAGCAAAAAGCAGAAAAAAAAGACTAGCAACTGTGACTACACTGATTGAGCGAAATCCTACAGGCAAGGCAGCAAGTCAAACGTCTGAGAAAGTAGTAAAACCGAAATAAAAGCGATCATACTTTTACTTGCATGGAATGTGACAAAAAGTATATTTATACTCTTTACATTTTGTTGTGGCAATCGCTTTGTAATATTACCAAATTACTTGTTGAATTTTAGTTAGATTAGCGGACGATCACGACCGAATGCAAAAATGAATCAGGTGTCGACATCGTAAACACTCTCTCTAATGCAAACACCTAAAATGACTTTGGAACAACAAATGGAATTCATTATAATTAATTCCATTTATGATCCCAAGTCATTCTAGGTCCCTCACTCCAATGAAAACTCCTAAAATGACCTTGGATCAACAAATGGAATGAAATGATAGTATTAGCGTGTTAACTTGCGTTCATCTTTTTTTTTTTCTTCCCGATGTTTCGATTGAACAGGTGGGACTAACAGAAAAAAAAACCGTGTAAGGCGCAGTAGTGCAAGTGGATGATTTCCTAAAAAGGATCACAGCTAAAAGGTAAGACGCTCACAAAATACAAAAAAAAAAAAAAAAGAAGTCCCTAGCGCGATTTGAACCCGGAACTTTCACGCCGCGAGGACAAGTACCGGTGCTTAAACCTCTCGACCATAGCAGTAGGTTTTTTTTTTCTCAAAAGTGTTTATTTACATGGCTATATACACGAGAACACTATGTACAATTTACATTATGTACAAAGCGTCAACGACACGAAAGAATTGAACGGTTGTCAACCTATACAAGGAGAGTGTTACTAGAAATAATAGAAAGCTCGGAAATAGTTGGAAACAAAGGATGTACAGCACACTTCAGTTTTCCTCTACAGGGAGTTGGTAAAGAGGGCCCTAAACTGTTAAAATCCTGGTCTAGTGACACAGACTCATATGACGTCCGGTGAACGACTGATGCTTTCTATGACTTGTTTCCATTCTTCATTATCTTCGCAGCACGACAGCATGCTCTGACAAACGAATGTGGCAATATTCTTAAAGTTCACCCAAGACGGTTTGGCAACCCCTCCGTCCGTATCAACTTTCCGTGTCTTCCACAGGCTATATAAACCTATCACAACTAATGTGTCGAGAACCGTATCTAACTGGTCTCCAAAATGTAGGTAACGGAAATTACTTTCTTCGACTTCAAAGTCTTTTTTCACTGTCCTCTTGAAAACGTCCCAGAAGAAGACTGCATCAACATAGAGCACAAATCCATGAGTGAATGTCTCCGTTTTTTTGCAGAGCCTGCAGTTTGTGCTCCAAAATACGTCAAAACCCCGTGATTCTCGCCACTCTTTTACAGGTATTGTCCGCGAGTGAAAGCGAAAAAAGAACGACTTGCACTTCGGTGGAATGGGCAAGCGTTTGACTCTTTGTAAAACATCAGTTTTGCAGTTAGGGGGAGCAGCAAATACACCCAATCGGTACAGTGGATCTGAAAACAAAGAAGTTAGTAGACATTTTAGGCGCCGGCACCGGCGGAGGTAGATAAATATACTGCTACCGCTTTTATCTCCAGTGGTTTCTTTTTTATTTTGGCTCCTATTTACCCTCCTTGGCCGTAACTTTACCTACCGCTCCTACAGTATAAAGGGGAAGTCAATTAGGTTCCAGATGAAAGTCCCTGCAATCAGTTTCTGCGAGCGAAATTAGGCTTTTGTGCTTGAAGCGATGCGGATCACTCCGCCATAAGGCAGGGACGCTAGGTACTTCCATGTCCCCATGGAGCTGGTCACGTTACGTAAAAATCCCTCCTGGCCGCAGCCGCGACCGCAGCCACAAGATGAGCAAACCGGCCCAGCAGTCGAAAAGGAGCTGCAGAGACTCGAGGCCACTGGAATCATCAGAAAAGTTCACGGCCCGACCGACTGGTGTGCTCCTATCGTACCCGTCCAGAAGCCATCGGGCGACATCAGAATTTTCGTCGACCTTACAAAACTGAACGTCTCTGTGCGTCGAGAGCGACACATCATGCCCACCGTGGAGGAAGTTCTGGCGAACATCAGTGAAGAAATGGTTTTCTACAAACTAGACGCAAACTCTGGATTTCACCAGATTGTCTTGTGCCCCGAGTCACAAGAGCTGACCACGTTTATAACACCATTTGGGAGATATTGCTACAAGAGACTGCCCTTTGGTATAACCTCGGCACCTGAAGTTTTCCAGAAAAAGATGACAGAGATTCTGGACGGACATCAAGGTATCCACAATTAAATGGACGATGTTTTGGTTTACGGAGCCACGCGAGAAGAACACGACAACCGACTGAGAGCAGCCTTGCAGCCACTCGCCCGGTGCGGTGTGACGCTCAACCCCGACAAGTGTCAGCTTGGCGTCACTGAGGTGTCGTTTTTAGGAGTGATCCTCGACAAGGATGGCATCCGAGCAGATCCAAAGAAGGTCAAGGCAATCCAGCTTCTACCTGCCCCTACAGATGTATCTGGACTCCGACGGGTGTTCGGTATGGTGAACCCTGTTGCACGTTTTTTGCCCACCCTGTCGCAAGTGACAGCACCACTTCGTGAACTACTTCAGAAGAACAATGAGTGGACTTGGGGATTGGAGCAACAACGAGCCCTTGACAAAGTGAAGCAAATGATCACGTCAGAGAGATGCCTTGCAAAGTATGACAGTTCTGCTCGTACCATCGTCTCAGCCGACTCCTCATCCCATGGCCTGGGAGCGGTGCTCCTTCAAGAACAACGAGATGTTGAGCTCCGTGCAGTTGCGTTCGCTTCTCGTTCTCTTACTCCAACGGAACAGCGCTACGCGCAGATCGAAAAAGAAGCCCTCGCACTGACATGGGCGGCTGAGAGATTTGAAGAGTATCTCCGAGGACTGGAGTTCGTTTTTCAGACAGACCATAAGCCCCTGGTCCCACTGCTGGGCCAGCATAACCTGGATATGCTGCCCCCACGGGTGCAACGGTTTCGAATGCGCTTGATGCAATATACGTACAAGATAGAATACATCCCAGGAAAGAACATGGCAACAGCTGACACGCTCTCGAGAGCGCCCTGCGAGGATGCGTCATCTGAGGGCATGTTAAACCCTGCCGAGGTTTCGTCATTTGTATTGGGGGCAATCAGCACGCTGCCGGCGTCGGAGGACCTTCTTCAGAGGATCTGGAAGCTCCAGAGGGAGGACCAAGGCTGTGCAAGCTTGTTCAAGTACTGTGAGGACGGCTGGCCATCGAAAAGCAAACTTTCATGGAACCTGAAGCCGTTCTTTGGAGAGCAAGGTGACATAAGGGTGTGCCAAGGCCTACTGTTGAAAGGACTCCGGCTTATCATTCCCAAGTGTCTTCGAGCAGAGATGCTAACGCGGATCCACGAGGGATATCAAGGGATTGTACGATGTCGAGCACGGGCAAGGGAGTCCGTTTGGTGGCCGGGAATTAGCGGGGCCTGAGTAGACATCGTAGACAAGTGTGCAGAATGTGCGATGTACAAGAATCAAGCTCGAGAACCGATGTTGTCGTCTCAAATGCCAGAATTGCCCTGGCAGAAACTCGCCGCTGACCTGTTCCAGCTCACTGGTGTGAACTATCTCCTGCTGGTTGATTACCGTTCCAGGTATCCCGAAGTCGCCATTCTTCAGTCCTCCACTTCAGCAAAGGCTGTTATTGAGCGAA